TATTAATGTTACTAGTCCTTTTTGGTCAACTAGTCTAATGAGTTATCTTAGCCATCTGAACATAGATATCACTAGCTTCTTTCGGTTAGATAGTTTAATAAGTTATTATGGTCATTTAAACATAGATAGCACTAGCTTCTCGTGGTTAACTAGTTTAATGAGTTATCTCATCCATCTGAATACAAATACCACTAGTTCCTTCCGGTCAGCTAGTCTAATAAGTTATTTATTTTGAAGTTCATATCACAAATAATAATTAAATAACATGCATTTAAAGAAATTGTAGTTATACAATTCTATAAATTTCTTAAAAATAATAAAGATGAAGGACATATAATTGGTGTTTGTACTAGTATTGTAGTCCTTTGTTGCTAGACAAATCATGTGGCCTCTTCTCTACCAATAGGTTTAAAACATCATACACCATTTAATCATCATAGAAATTCAAATTTCAATTTTCATTTTGAATTCAAATCTCAATAGTAAAGAAAACTTAAGTTTTTTTAGGTGCATCCACTTTTATTTATATATTCATTGACTCATTATTCAATTAATATATTTAACATTGTCATAAATTTTCTGATCATTAATTTAGTCTTTTTCTCTCTTCTATTTCTTTCAAGATTGGCTGAATATCTCTTATGAAGAAAAGACAAGAATTTTTCAACAATTTCTTTCCATTTTCATATTATCTATTTTTAAATTTCATCATTCATTTGTATTAACATGAAAACACATGCTTACTAAATCAATTTACTCAACCTTTCTAAAAATCCATATTGATTGAGAATTTCATTTAAAAGTGACATATCCCTTTTCTCATTTTTCTTGTAAATTATCATTAGCCTCACATTAAATCATTTAATTAACATCACTAAATATACATGTTATGTCAATTATATCAACCAATCTCATCTCCCTACTCCAAACTCAGGCCAAGATATATACAAGGAAAGGATACCAAAATTTCTTTAAATTTTCATAATTCATCTATTACTAAATTAATTTTAGTCCGAATTCAACATAACTCTATGTTCTCTCATTTGGGTCTTTAGTTCTCTCTGTTCTTTTTTTCTTTTATGAAGAAAGATTTTGTTATACATTCATTTAAAAAAACAATGGAAAGTAATATGAATTTATGATTTCATGCATGTTATATTGATGAACAAACTATTTCTTTTAGAGGGAAGAGACGTTAAAATTATTATATGTGTATATGATATTTTTTGGACATGTTTAATTATTCCTTTTTTGTTGAATTATGTGTGATGTAATAGGAATTTTTGGTCATTAACAAGACCTTGTAATCTATGATAGATTAAGACTAATAGTTAATAGTTAACATAACAAAGAAATTATATTACCATAGCAAAACCAATCAGTACTACATGAATGAGAAGTTATTTTAACCTTCTTTTACAATGAGATAGATTACCATAAAGATGAGAAGTTATTTTAACCTTTTTTCACGATGAGATAATTTTTTAAATTTAAATACTTCATAATAAAAACCTTAACTCATGATTTTTTACAAGTGCAATATGCTATTTTAAATTTGATCATTTACAAGGACTAATAGTTACTTAGAAAGAAATTTTGCATCTATGATAGTAGCTCATGAGAATATTTGATCTTAATTGTTTGTTAATGGGCAAAAAGAAAATGAGGAACACATCATTTTTTAGCTTTATCGTTTCAAAGATACTAAACTTCAAATTTGGCATATTCCTTCTCACTTTTATTTTTTCAGTTAACCAAACTCTCATAATAAATGCATGAAGTTCCCAATCTGATGAGATATATTATTTTTGGATGCTAAATTGATATAACAATATACTAAGTGTGTATTTGTACCATGTTGCGATGCTATACTTTTTTTTATGTAAAAATGATGTTCAAATACAACAAATACATTTAAAGAAAAGGAAAAAAATTAGTGACTTGAGTTATAAATCTGAATGTGACAAATAAGTTATTTTGTTTTAGTAAAAATAAATAAAAAATAGGCAATGATAACATATTAACCAAATTAAAAAAAAAAGTGAACGTAATAACCTAGGAAATTTTTTTTTCAAAAAAATAAATAAATGATGTAGCTTAATTTTCAATCCATTAAAAGTGGAATGATGAAATTAGATAAAACAAGGACCTAAGAAAATTATCCTAGGTCAACTCGAGTTAGCATGAGAAACATGTAACCCCAATAATCAGGGTTATGTCAACTCAAGTTATTCTGTTAAACTCAAAGTCTAGGATATAAGATTGAGATAACTCGATAGAGAAAAAATAACAAAGCTCATTTGAAAAAAACCAATGTTGAATGATAAAAATAGAAAGTAAAGCAAGTAAAAAAAAAAAAAACAATGTCAACCCATGTTAACTTTTCAAACTTGCGATCTAGATAATTAAACTAAAAGCACCATATCTACAAAATCATGAAGCTCAATTTTGAAGCATTCAAATATTGAAAAAAAAATTAACTATACAAAATGATCCAAAATAATAAATAAAAATTAAAATAATAAGGGTTAAAATTAAAATACAAAATAAATTTTATTTTTTATTAAAGGTTGAAGTTGAAAATAAAAACCAATTTAACAAAAGGATCCAGAAAAATTAAAACAATCTGAATAATAAAGATCAAAATTGGAATAAAAAAATGATTGAAGGGTACAACTGGAAAAAAAATTAGTTTAACAAAAAAAAACAATCAAAAGAAAGGAAACTAAATTGCAAAAAGTAACATATCCTATATATATTAGTATATGTGTTTCACATGTCAGTCATTTTTTGTTTTTATATTATATTTATTCAAATATTAAATTATTCATTAGATGGTCTAATATTAAAAAAAATTGTAAATATACAAAAAAACCTTTTGATATTAGCTTTTTATTTTCTAAAATATTTTAATCATTTCACTGTAATTTTATTTTATGTATATATGTATGTATCAAATTATCCATCAACTAACCTAATAATAACAAAAAGATTATTGTGAAAATACAAAAATATCCTATTTGACACTAATATTAAACTTTTAAATTTTTTAAGTGTATTTTAGTTGCTTCTGTATATTTCTAAGATGAAAAAATACTTGTTTGTTACTGATTAGTTCATAATAATTAATAAATTTTATAAAAATACCTCAATAAGTTTAATAACTAATTTTAAGTTTTTTTTAATGAGAAAAGAAAAACGTGAACAATGTTTTTATTCACAGTTTATAGTGTTTTCCTGTATATATAGTAAAGGCTAAATAGCATAGCTGACAAAATAATTTGGCATGATATATAAAATGGTAGGCAGCTCTTACAATCAATCTACTTTAAATCTCATTATGACATGACATTTGTCTTGTGATTGGTGATGTCATCAAATGTAGAGTTAACACCAATCCTCCTCCATGTAAAAAAAAAAAAAAAAAACTTGAACTGGATCTACAGTTTTTACAATGTAATGAAAATCTTGTCCCTTGTTGCCTTGCTAGGACCTCCTACGACAACTGGCCTTTCAGGCTCAATAATTGAATTTAAAAAAAAATTAGTCAAAAATACAATCGAATCCAACCCAAGTAAATAGTAGCCAGGCTTCCCTTGATGGGGGGGGGACCATTTTAACACAAGCATTGACAAGAGGGGACCATTTTGTACGTCAGGGTCCGATCAGAATGGCACCAGACATTAGTCGCCTCATTCGCTGGCTGGGCCTGCATGGCTGCGCACCTCACCTCCTTATCCGCGCACCGCAGGGACCACCCTCCGCCCTTTCCCTCTCCGTGCAAGTGCAGCCCTGAAGCCTGAACGGCAACCTTTATAGACACAGACAGGAAACCAAAAAAGAAAAAACACAAGTCAAATCCTAATCAGGTCCCCACCTTAGCTGCAACTCACAACTGTACGAGTCTTATTGGCCTGATTCCTCTGCCTCGAGCTCCCGTGCTGTCCCCACTTTTGTGGTCCATGAAACCTTGGCTGACACATGTCCTTCTTAGCACACAATTTGATTGTTGCTGTCGCTGTCCTGAAGACTGCAAGTGGCCTAAGAAGTAGGCAGGCCGATGAAAAAAAAACACTACTGTTAAAAACTTTGACTTGCAAATAGTAATGCTACGTGTCGTCTGATCCGTCCGTTAAACAACCTCTTCTGAAAGTCCACCCAAGAACAAGCCCTCCAATATAAAAGTCAGTCCTCGTATTTTTCTCATAGTTTCAGAATAGTTTAGGATGTTGCTATTTTGCCATCTAACTTCAAACAACTTCTCAATTTGGTCCTCCTCCAGTATATCGATGACGTTTCACGTTGGCTTGAGAATGTTAATTAGACAATTCACGTGGAATATTTAAAAATTTAATGATTTTTGTTTCACATTTTTCATATTCCATCAACAAAATTTGTTGAAGATAAGACCAGATGAAATATTTTATCCGTTCATGATTATTTATTGATGGAGATATGATGTATTTTTTTTCTTAGTACCAAAAAAAAAATTGTGCTCAATCTATATAAAATATTATTGTTCATACTCTAATTTTCTTAAAAGGAATAAATGGAATTTTGGATTTTGCATGCTATTATAAAGTTGTTTGAGAGTATGAAAGTAATTATTTTTTAAATTATTTTTAATTTAAAAATACATTAAAATAATATTTTTTATTTAAAAAAATTATTTTGACATTAACATATCAAAATAATTTTAAAATATAAAAAAAATTAATTTTAAATAAAAAAATTTAAATTTTCATGAAATATTATTTAAAACACAAATTCAAACTGCATCTTAATTGAAATTGATGAAGCATCAGTATTTTTCTTTTTTAAGAAAAGAAATCCCAAAGAGTTTAACCTTTTCTTTTGTTTTTAATGGATACTTTCAAATCAATATATATTTTTTTAAAAAAGGGAGAGACATCCCAAGAGTATAATTGAGAACTGTTTTAGTTTTGGTTGAAAGAAAGAAGGACTAAACTTGAAGCTGAACCCAAAAAACAAAGGGCTTTCACTTTCTCCTCCATTTCCTTCTTCTTCTTGTTGTTCATGTTTTCACTTCACTTCAAAACCTTCTCTGTTCAGAAACATACAGACCCGCTTTTCTTTCCTTCCCATATCTCCCTCTCCTTCTCTTTCTCTCCTGCCCTCATTTTGAAATGAAAACCCACCTCTAATGGCTTTTCAAGACCACCACCATACACCACAAGAAATGGCTTTTCAACTACCACAACACCACCACATCTCAGCCTCACCTTCCACCGGTCCCACATGGCTAAGCAACGCAGTCCTCCGTAGACACGACGACGTTTTGACCCAAACCCGCATCGAAAAACCCGAAAACAACACCAATAATGGAAGTGAAGAGGAATTGACAGATTCCGTTAGTGATAATTGGGAGAGAGCTAAATGCAAAGCTGAGATATTAGGGCATCCCTTATATGAACAGTTATTGTCTGCTCACGTGGCTTGTTTAAGGATTGCCACGCCAGTTGACCAGTTGGCTAGGATTGATACACAGTTGGCTCAGTCTCAAGATGTTTTGGCTAAGTATTCTGGTGTTGGTAGGAGCCATGTTGTTGATGAGAAAGAACTTGATCAGTTCATGGTAATTACTACTGTTTCTCTTAATGCTTTGTTAATTATATGTTGTTCTGTGCTCTTTAAGGCTTGTCTGTCCTGTGCTCTGGCTTTTGTTGAATTTGCGTGAGTTCAAGTTTGATTTTTGTTATAACAGATATGAGATAATCATCATGTTTATGGTCGATCAGTTAATTAATGGTTCTTGATTTTTGAGATTTATATATCTTGGGATTTCCTTTTACATTTGTTTTTGATGGATGCTTATTGTGCCTGTTACAATTCCAAACTTGAAATGACAAAGAAACTTCCTTCTCTTCATTCTTCATCGTACCTTAATATCTCCATCATGGAGAGTGAGTTAAGTAGGAAGAAATCCTTTTGATATATGTGAAAGAAAATATTTTCTGATGAGTGGATAAATGGTAACTTCGATGCGAGTCGTGCACTGGTGATGACCGTGAAGGCATCACTGCAGGTATCAATTATGATGTTCCATGAAAATAATTGAAACTTTTGAAGTGCTTTGGGGAATCTCTTTGGTGATGGTTTTTCTACTACATATCCATCTGTTTGCAGGGATAGTCCTCCTTGTGTTATGGGATTTGTTCTGGCATGAAGAAAGTTCCTGCCAAGTGTCTTATATCTAATTGTTCTCCAAATTACATGCATTGATTTTGATTCATCAACTTTCATTACTTATACCTGTACGAATTAACTTTTTGCCTTTAGTATATGATTCTGTTACGTTGCTGTAATGGTTGAAGCTATAATCCTTCCCTTAATTAATTACAAAAAAAGTTCTATATTTAAGAAGCCCAATTATTAGAGTAAATGCTTGCCTACAGTTACTTGAGCTCCATTAAGGAGACAAGTGGAGATTAATGTCTTGATAGAAAGAGGGATTGACATAACTTAGATTCTTTAGAATAATAATGGATGATTGGGGTTCTTGGGAGCGAGTTTGACATGGAAAAACATCAAATTAAGGTTTTTTCTTAGTGTTCTGATGAATACTAATTCAAACTTAATGGATAACAACCCAAACAGATTTAAAAGGATGGGTTTTTTTCAGTTACTCTATAAATAATAAATAAGATATAAATATTATCAAACTCAAATTGAAACCTATTCAAACCTTATCTGAGATATATGCAATAATATTATACATACATAACATTTATATTTTTTTTAATCCAATATAATATATTAAATTTTGAATAATAAATATTACTCGGGAAAATGATACTCCAATAGTATCGAAAACTTGATACCCTAGTATTACATTGGTGCATGCGCTTTTACATAAATGTATGTGTATGTAATTTTACATTGAATATATGTATACATATCTCAAATATATATTTAACCTTTATTTTATGTTGAATAATAAATAGTAGTCAAGTAATGATACTCGAATGGATATCCGAAACTCGATAAATGAGATAAATAAGGAATAAATATTAAAAAATTTTAAGCAATAATTAATGAGTAGGGTGTGAATATAATATAAACCCGATCAATGGTGCCCATTGCCATCCCATGCCCTTATAGCGAGTAGACATATTATATATAAGCAATAAGGTTGGAAATATAAAGTCATATTACAAATTGATGTTACAAAACTAGTTGGTCATGATGGATTACGAAACAAATTCTTGCTGTCAATTAATGAGAAATTTCCCGAAATTTTGGATTGTATTGGCATTGATTTCTTCTTACCATAGGCGATATCAAAGAAGTTTGTGAGGGTGAATGATAAAACTGATGGCTGTTCCTCGGTCAGCTTGATAATGCATTTATGTCCCGTAAAAAATTCTCATTGAAAAAGCTTATGATAGCGTTTCAAAGCTAAAATATTTAAGAGAAATAGAGATTCAAGACCATTTAGATTGGAATAAATTTGTCATTAATGTTTTCAAGGGGTCTCATAAGATGATGCAGGTGATTTGCAATTGATAGAAGTTTTGCACTTTAGCTGTTCTTTACTGATGTATAGTAAATAAGGATTATATGAAATCTTTCGAATGTATAATACAAGTGTACATTTGCTGCAACATGGTAAGCGATGAAAAATGTCAACAGTTTTTTAACAGTTCAAGTATTTATATTCATGATGTTATCAATTATGCCCATCTCCTGTTTTTGTTTCTTTGTTCTATGTGAGATACATATAACGTTATCAGTTTTGTTTTCTTCCATCTGACACTCCTGCTTTGCTCCTCCTTTTTTTTCCATTGCTATGCAGACACATTACGTTCTATTGCTCTGTTCCTTCAAAGACCAATTGCAACAACATGTCCGTGTTCATGCTATGGAGGCTGTAATGGCATGCTGGGAACTTGAACAGTCTCTACAAAGTTTGACAGGTAGTTAGACCTTCTATCGAAAGGAAAAGAAAACCTAAAACATAGGACTTGCTGGTGGCCTACATAGTGGAAAGCACTGAAATATATCTCATAAATGATTCTTTGCATGTTCGTTAGCCAAGCTGCTTCTTTCTTGCTGCCTTTTTTCTGTATTCGTCTTGCAGATCCGCAATTTGTGCTGGTACTTTGTTTTCATATTAGTTGTCTTGCTTCGTGTCAATGTTATCATACCATCCATGCTGTTTAACATTTTCCTTTGCCAAGAAAACTTTGGATGATTGATGTATGAGTAGGCCAAGATATTCATCTTCTTCTATTTTTCAGGGTACATTTTACTTGTTTGTCTTTCAATATTGAAGCTAAACACTGTAGTTAATAAGATATCAAAGTTGAACTATGGCCAATGCTAGCCAATCCCTTAGCCAACTGTGCCTTGACTGCTAAAAGAGGCCGGCGGTTTAACCATGGGGGCAGCCCGCCTCTCTTTCTGTACCCCACTGTTACTGTTTAAAGCTTAAATCAGAGAACTAGGAAAAAAAACCCGCATCGTTGCTGCAACTAAAGTGCTACATATGGTGTTTCATTAAAATTAAAGTTGATTTATGAGCTAAATCTTTATTTTTGGTTTTGTGGAACTTTCGTGGTTGCTTTTGGCATTAGTCTAGAAATTGTAACGGTATTAGTGATGCCTATGTAAAGAGAATGACCCGTCATTCATGCCATTTCAGTCAAAGGGTTCTCATGGCTGTGTCTCCTTGAGCTTTAAAGCATCATTTCCTATGTGGGGGCAAGGAATTTCTTTGAATAGCTTTTTGTCCAACCTTATCTGGGGTCACTTTAAAGTGTGAATCTCTTTTCAACGTTTAATCAATTGTAGTTTGTTTATTTGCACGCTATGTTCTAGTCTCTTACAAGTTGAAGCCAAATAAACACTTTTTTTTGTGTTCAAACACCATTTTTTTTTCAAGTTCTTTTTGTGAACTATCATTTACTGCGACTGTTAATGGTTGCCACTGAATGCTACAATAGTTCCTATGGCTTGCTTCTCGTCAATCTAACACTACTTCATTGTTTTCCATCAAAGCATTTAGGTCGGCAGTCCCATAGTTATTATCTCTACGTACAAAGTTTTCTCCTGTGGAACATGTGAAACCCCCAAAAGTTTTTGATATAATTTAGCTTGAGCTAGGACTCTTGTTGTTGCTGAGAATAACCAGAAAGAAATGGAAGATCTCGTGCTCTTTGGATTTTCCTTATTTTATATGATAGTGTGCATTTAAGCCAAGGGTTAAATCGGATTGAAATGCATGTCTAAGCTTAAAACTAAATTACTGTGCTTGACAGGTGTATCTCCAGGGGAAGGCACTGGTGCAACTATGTCTGATGATGATGATGACCAGGCAGATAGTGATGCCAACTTGTATGATGGAAATCTTGATGGGTTGGATACCATGGGATTTGGTCCTCTAGTTCCCACTGAAACTGAGAGGTCCTTGATGGAGCGTGTAAGGCAAGAATTGAAGCATGAGCTCAAACAGGTAAGAATGCATAAAATAAAACGGTAAATTACCGTGTAAATGGTGTAGCTGAGAAGCATCCTTCTGTTTAGGATTACAAGGAGAAGATTGTGGACATTAGAGAGGAAATTCTACGTAAGAGAAGAGCTGGAAAACTGCCAGGTGATACTACGTCCCTCTTAAAAGCTTGGTGGCAAACACATTCCAAGTGGCCATACCCAACTGTAAGTTCGAGATGATGTCCTCACTATACACTGTTAATGTTTCCCTGCTGGCTCCTCAAACTGTCTTCTAAAAATTGTTTTTAGGAGGAAGACAAAGCAAGATTGGTGCAGGAAACAGGTTTGCAATTAAAGCAGATAAATAATTGGTTCATAAACCAAAGGAAAAGGAACTGGCACAGCAGTCCTTCAGGTTCTACTTCGAAGAGCAAACGAAAGAAGTAAGCTGCCTATTATATGTGAACGTTAGCTCCTTAAGAACAATTTGCTAATTGTAATGAAGAAAATAACCAATGCAGGTGATACCAGCATTAAACATCTCGTATAAATGGAATGCTATTATTTCCTTGTGTGCGTACCTGGGGAAGAGCATCAGAGCACATGTTGGAGGCATTGTAATGAGCAAGAATTCTGTAAGGGTAGTAGGGATGTTCTGTTTGGACATCCCTGTGTTGCTCATACTTGAAAGCTCAGCTTAATTTGAAAGTGGCTGCAATATATTCTATATGTAAAGATGGTCTAAACTCATTCACCTATCAATTCCAGTTGAGAAGTGTGCTTTGAAGGCATACATACTGATACAATAGATGTCCCTAGCTTATAAGCATATAAGATTAAAGTATTGGTTTGGATAGCTTCCTTCCGAGCCACGGGCCTGTAATTTTGCTGTTACTGGTTTATATTTCTATATTTGTGATAAGAACAGCAACAGTAAAGGAAATGTAATTACATCCTTTTTAACATTCAAAACCATTTGATCAAAGAATTTTTTCAAAAACATGAAGGGGTTGCGATTTGATTAGTGAGAGTAAGGTTTTAGAAATTTCTCATGAATATACCAGTGCACATTGTGGATAGCATGCCGAAGATTTGGCTTTAGTTTCCAAAATGACAGCAAACCACATCATATGAGTTTCCTCACCGACCATGGATCTCTATGGTCACCATTCTCGTTCAAAATATCATATTCCCGTTACGTGAATAGTCGAAAACAACAGCAACTGCTAGCTGAATATGCCTCTTCTTCATAATCATCAAGGTGATCATATCCTTCTTGTTCATGGGACATTCTTGGCGAGTTGATGGGGCTCCTAAAGGTTACTTGAGGTTTAGCCATGCGTTAGTGGGAGAAAGATACAGAGAAAAGGGATGAATTGGGAGCGAGAAGAAGAGGGTCTCAATACGTAGAAGGAAATTGAAGTGAAGGAGGCGAGGAAGTGTCAAGGGAATGGAGAACATCAGCTCTTAATAGTTTTTAGATGCTTACATGGCTCTCTATGACGGGGCTATTTGTGAAGGCGGTATCTTTAACGAGTTAACACGGTGGCAAAACGATTGCAACATGGCGACACAGTCAAGAAACCACGCCTCAAACTTTTTCTTCCTTCACTTGACCCGCGTTTCGAGAGATTGAATCTCAGACTTTCTGAGAGAATATGCTTTTGGCGGAGATGATTTGCAAATCAAAGCATATATATACGTTAAATATTAGAAAAATACTCTGCCCATTAAGTTTATAAAATTTGTTTACATATTTTAATCAATTTAGAAAATTGAAGTGAACAAAATCAAAATAACTCAATATTAATTGTGAAATTATTTCTATTTAATATGTATTTTCTAGTATTTAACACCATGTGTGCATCTTATCTTTTCTATGAAAATATTTGATTATTATGAATAAAATTAATTCAAGGATAATTTAAGGATATGGGAACCTTTTTCATATATATATATATCTTCAGGAAGATGCTATTGAAAGCTTTTTGTACAAACTCAACCCATCAGGCATCCAACTAAAGCACAGCTAACACTTCGAACTCTACCCACACACTTGGTTTCTTGCTCCGAGTTAAACTCCTCATGCCAATCAAAAAAACTTACGCTAGGCCACGGTAATAACAATAGTTATTATCGACTTTCGTAAAAATGATACCGTTGCATGCACCCAGCATCAGTGTTGAGGTGGTGAAGACTTGCGCAGACAATTCAGCCCATGTTCTTGTGATGCTGGGTGGGAAAATAATGTAACAATGTCATCATAAAAGAACAAACAAATTCGACCTCTCAAAGATTACAAATGCTATGCAACGTAATAGTAAACAAATTCTAAATAAAACGTAAAACCCAACAACTTGACAAATTCTAAAGCTGTAATTCAAAAACGAAGGACCGACCTAGCCTGTGCTACATTCAAGTCAATGCATACATGTCTTTCAACAACCAAGAAAGCAACGCATTCCCAATGTACAAAGGGGAGACACAAAACACAAAAGCTTGCCTGAAATCATTGTTTAAACCTGGGAATGTATTGAGGGGGCTACTGCTATGGGGTTTGCCCTTTGGAAGGAATCTTTGCTGCCATTGCACGCAACTCATTTGCAATTTCAGTGAAGTTAGGTCTGTCTGATGGCTCAGCAGACCAGCATCTCTCCATCAATGATCTCCAGTCTGGGTCACAATTCTCCGGCACTGGTGGCCGCAAGGTATTGCTCACAATACCACCTGATTAGCATTTTGGTTGGGAAATGATCAGCGAGACACATACTTGAGCCCATTCAAATCAATGCAACACGATTATTTGTGATAAACAAAAACCTTACCTATAATAGCCCCATAGTGCAAGTCTGCGTATGGCTCTTCACCAGTTAGAAGTTCCCACAACACCATACCAAATGAGAACACATCGACCTATGTTAGAGAGAATTGAAGCACAAGCTTCATCAAGTGAGAAGGAGAAAATATTTATATGCAAGATGGTATTAAAAGACAAACAAACCTTCTCAGAGACAAGACTGCTGCTTCCATTCAGAAGCTCCGGTGCCATCCATGGAAGTGTTCCCCGCACACCACCAGAGATAAGTGTTTGGCATTTCACCTTCGACAGGCCCAAATCACCGACCTGGAGCAAAAGCAGAAGTGAAAAACCAATCCAATAGATTTTCTATTGAAATCAAATACAGAATCCTTAAGTTAAACAGCACATGTAAAGACCTGCGGATTCAATGCATCATTTTAACCATAGACCTTAAATTTGAACTCGATAGTTTTGACTGATTGTCATAAAAGGAGGTTCAAAATACAGTAAATTACATGTGAGCATTTTGGAAATGGAGTTCTATTCCCAATAGCATATGCAAATTGCCACTTATGATAAGGTTTCATAAGCACTTGGGCCTCTGATAACTTCTATCAATGACAAAAGCAAAGGCTTCTTGAATTCAGGACTAAAAATAGAAACAACAATCTTAACTATCATCACTTATAATAAAAAGAATAACTTGGAAACCTCAACTAATGAAAAGAAAACAGAAAAGGTTGAAAAGAAAAGGGGGAGACTACTGCCATTACAAGGAGGGGTAAAAACATTTCACACTCGATACAGACTGGGAGATAAAATCTATGAAGTCACTCGAGTAAAAGTAACAGGTGGACAAAAGAGAGTTCAAATCAACTCCATTCATCTCTTGCTTAAAACAAATATCAGCCCGAAACTCTGTTGACAAGATATCAGCATTCAGCATGCACTTGAAGATATCAGCATCAAGTACAGTTGAGAAGATAAGATTACCTCTCTTTTCCTATGCTTATAAGTACAGTAATAATTCCATTTGTGATTTGTAAGTCAAATTTAAAGTGATTCCATTTGAAAACATTCCCATAACCTCAATGCCATTTGTACCCCTAAACCATTCTGCTAAAAATCCTATCATTCAAAAGGACCCTTGCAACAGCTTTAAAGTGTTCCATCTAAAAGATTCAATTAATTTGCCTAGAGTGCGGCAGGATAACTTATTTTATTCAGATGCACACATTTTGCCTTTGCAGAGTGAGATAACCATTAAATGCAACAAGACAATTTTATAGATCAATTAGGCACAAAAAGAATTTCTCCAAATACTAAAATTGTCAAAAAGGAGAATATCAACAGAAATGAATCCACAATGGATATGCATGTCAGAGAGCTCATTACTCGATGTAAGAATGAATGGGAGAATAAAATATCCTCTTCTCCAGATCGGGTCACTAACCTTGCATATTGGCCGGTGAGGATCTCGAAGATTAACAAGTAAATTGTCACTCTTCAAATCAAAGTGCACAATATTCTTCCCATGCAAGTATTCCATTCCAAAGGCCACATCCATGGCAATCATGAGACGCTTACGCTTGTCAAGGCTCCTGACAACAAGCAATTACAAAATCAAATTTCACTTTCAAAGTGGTGCATGAATTAAAATGGAGAGAGATACAGGTTCATGAAAAGAAACTAGAAAATAACACGCCACCTCTCATTCTTCTGCAAAGCATTTCTTAAAGAACCATTAACCATGTACTCTGTCACTGTCGCCACAGAACCTCCAGGGCCATCAAGAACAACACCATAAAAGGCAACCACATTTGGATGGTGCAAATCAGCAAGCTTAATTGCCTCATTCCAGAAGTCATCTCTCTGATTTTGAGCATATGGCACAATGAAGACAGTTAGCAAGTCATAACACATGAATAACATCAATAAAAGCAAACCTTAACAGGTGAGACAGGACAAAAAGAAAACACAGAGAAGAATGAAAACAAACCATGCGTTCTTGTTCAGAAGGTTTTCCAGCGAAACACCTATCATTAATTCGTTTGATTGCGACATCAGTACCCCTCCACTTTCCATGATAAACGGTGCCAAAGGTGCCAGAACCCAATTCCCGCAGCTGTTCAAGGTCACTGTTCTTTATAATCTGCCAGTCAACAGCCAGAAACATTCTTAAAATTGACAATCACGATTATAAATTACAGGAAGCAAAAATAATGAACTCTTTCAACCTGCAAGCAACCAAGGCCTTCTGATACTGGAAAACCAAAATTCACCTTTTCAGGCACTTTTTTCTTCATGTCCTGAGTTAACAAAGCAACAAAATATAGGGATAAAGGAATAGTCAGATACAGCCACCATTAATGGCAACAGGAAAAGGAAAGCCAATTGATAAACATGAACATGTTCCCACACTAGTGCAATGAAAACAGAAAGGATTAGGCACCTCAAATTTAGCCTTTTGCTTTATTTCTAAACCTTCATTTGAAACTTCTTTTTCTAGATTTGGTTCATAAGCTGATTCACCGCTTTCTGACACTGTTGGTTCTGGATTAGAATTAGCTGACTGGAAAACAGAAGCAGCTACACCCTCGGCGACAGCCTTGAGTTCTTTCCTGATGAGTTCCTCAGCTGAACCTTCAACCATGAAATAAAAAATGCTAAGAAACTACCTTTGCAACATAAGAGAAGATTTGATATTATCCAGATGAACACAAACATGATAAATAATTATGGGAGTTATCCAGTTATAAGCACGCATGAGCACACTGAATAAGAAGCTTCTGACCTTTGGATGATTGAACACACTCTAAATCCTTGTTTGAATTAGTCAGGGGCTTGGGAACTCCATCCTCCACCATCACACCTGTGATTAAGTTCACCTCACCAGAATGGTTCTCAATGAAAGGATCCCTAGTACCAAAGACTTCTTTTTTTGTAGCAATCTTGCTAGGTCTAGGTTGAGGAAAATGATCATCATGCCTTGAGTTCCAAGGATCCTGGCTGCTGAAGAGTGAGTTTGAGGAGTCCTGAGCATTGCCTACACCACTAGATGGTGATAGGGAAGATAGTGTATTACCAGTTGAGGATAAAGCTTCCACATCACTAGGGACAACCTTTGAATGCAATTGTGAATCATTCTTCCATTCAACAACAGGTGGGATTCTGTCATTCATATAGACTGGCTCCACACCAGAGTATGCAGGGATCCCATAACTAACTTCAGCAGAATCCATGGCAGGAATCCCAATCTTAAATTGAGGATGTGATGCTTTATTAACCACAATAGGTGGTTGTGCAACCTCATGTAATTCCATTGGTCGGGAAATATGTATGTAAGAAACCCCTGTAGAAGTAGGTAACACTTTAAACTGCTTAATATGATTTGACTTGAGAACCACCTGAGGTTTGCTAAGGGTATTATCTAGAAGAACCTCCCTCCCAGCAATTTTCTGGGTTCTATGATCTAAGATTTCTTCCTTTCTAAATTTATCAACAAGTGACTTTTTCTGATCATTGTTAACATTAATTTCAGGGGGGCGTGTGTGGAGAGCTTCCATCATCCCATCAACTAATCTCAGCTGGTCATAAGATATGTAAGAATCTACAGCATCTTCTTTGGAAACAACACCAGGAAGCTTGCCAGTGCACTCTTTCGGAGATTCATGAACTAGTTGTTCAGAAGCTTGAATAGGTACACCAGCAGCATGAGAGACATCAGTATTAGCAGTTTTACTCAGTAAAATCTGGGGTTGCATTGGCACTGAATGTTGCTGGACATAATCATCCATGTGAGACTCAGGAATTCCACCTGCGAACATGCCACAAGGAGACTGTCCATCACCTGGTAAACCTATCATGCCATAGGGAGCTGAAATCTTAGACTGATCAGAATTGTCAGTATTCAAGAAAGTTCTCTCATTTTCATGACGGGACTCAAGATTCTGAGGGGGCACAATTGCTTCTGACTGTGGCATTCCAATATGATGATCCATATGACCAAGAACTGCAGGTTGAGCACCAGCACCTTGTTCAATAATGTGTTCTCCCAAGGCACCAGTTATCAAAACCCTGTCCATGGGCCGGGCTTTCATAGTATCTTCTAAGAGAAGACTATGACGAAGTGAGTTTGTATAGATCATTCCAGATTCTCTTGGGTCCTGTACCAAAGGATCAGAATGTGCATGAGGCAGTGCTTTCTGACACATATAACAGTCCTCCATTCTTGGAACTTTCTCAGGGAAAATTACCTGTTGATGAGACACTGACCCATCAGAGAAGGCAACATGCTCTGGCTGAGGAACTTGGGCCCAGCCATAGCCTCCTCCAACAACTGCATGAGGGAGTTGAGCCCGATACACATTGTAGCTTGGGTCAACAGGAACCTGAACAATCCTTGATCCAAATGCATTTTCTTCAGGATAGTGCTCCAATCGAGTTTTTAGGGGTTGTGTCAATGGTTGAACAACAGTTGGCCTCACAGGTGTGGATGTCATAGTCATATGCACTGCAGGAACATATTGACGAGAAGTAGCAACTGCATTACTCTCATGAAAATGCTGTTGGGTGAGTACAGACCCAGAAGTTCCCAGCAGATGGTTATTTGGAAAACCCATTTGGGGAGGAAGGTGCCTATAATCTGCATGATTTGTAATTTCTTGATTAGGATCTACATAAAACTGCATCTGAGGAGCATGTGGTGGAATGCCTGATCCAACTTGCTTGAAATCGTGGGCCATATGCTGCTGTTTTTCAGTAAAAGGAACAGACCTCTCAAATTCAACCTCAGTCTGAGAACATGCAGTCTGCAGAGGACCAGACTTAGCCGTTGGAATTACCAAAGAAACAGCAGATGCACCAGCATAAGGTGGGGGTTTAGTATCTGCAATGGCTAATTTTGGAGTAGAATCATGAGAAGTTGCAGAATTATCCCTAGGGGATAACAGGCTGGTAGATGGTGGCCAGGTCACATCCCCTTGACCAGGACCTGGGCAATCAACGGCCTCAGTCCCGCTAAAATCAGAGTTTTGTGTTGAACTTACACTTGCCATGCTCTCCTTCCTAGCGATACGACGACGACCACAATCCACAACCCCATTTACTGCGTCAAAATATTTCTGCCCACTATCATGTAAATCCCCAAATTGGACCGAACCAGAAGCATCAAGCTGTAAATCTGAAAATAAAAACACCCTTAACTTAGCTGACCCATCCAAAGACCTCTCAACCAACTTCTCATATTCCTCCATCATATTATCAAGATCATCAGCACATGAAACAGACACTAGTGCATCAAGATCCTCATCAGGAAGCTGGTATTTAATGACAACAGGCTGCTGATATGTGTCCATCATCTTCCGCTGTAGCTCATTAAAGCTCACATCTCTCCTCACACTAATAATCCTTGTTTGCCCTCCAACATATCTCAACATACCATCACTTGGTCTAGGTAAAATCTTCCCCCCAAAACTACACAAAAACTTTACTTTCTTTCCCGACACCGAATCATCCTTACCATTTTCACTCCCATGGTCAGCCCCGCTGCCACTACCACAACTCCCCAAATTGGGGTTATAAGCTGACCCTATATTTACTGCCTCATTGCTCTCATTAACATTAATCCGATTCCCAAAATTGGGTGAAGAACCAAATCCTGACACCATATCATTTCCAGCATGATCAACAGCACTACCAACTATCCTGTTCCCCAAATTAGGATTATAACCAAACGCAACACCTGCACCATTTGCACCCACATTCACACTCCCAACCGGCACCTGCAGGAGTGGGGCCCATGGGGTAACCCCAGGAACAGTATTCCCATATCCTAAACCTACAAAACCAGCATCAGACACTGATGCCGAATAAATAAAAGGTACAGACCCTTCTGGTTTGGAAAAGAATTCTGGGTTTCTACCAGCTGTTGCCGGCGTGGTGACAGCACTACTACTAGAACTAGCCATGGCAGCCATAATGCGGGGCTCTTCAGGCATGGCTCTAGCTATGTTCAATGGCCTTAGATCATTTGGTATTGGGGTTTGATCAAAAGCCATAAATAAAATTCAAATTGAAAAACGAATCGATCTCTTTATTCACAAACTTGGGATTTGCCCAAATGGGTTTTCCTGTACACATTCACTACTCTGACAAAACCATCGCAAACCCTCTCAATGTTTTCACAGACATATATATATGTGTGTGTGTGTGTGTGTGTGTGTGTGTGTCTAAGACTAAACAGAATTAAAGCGAGAGAAAGAAAGACAAAGTTACCAGATATGAACGGTGACAATTGGGGATAGATGAGAATAAGAAAAAAGGACACATAAAACAGTAGCCCAGTCGGTGCCGCAGAAGAACTTAGAAAGGAGCTTCGAAAAATCCAGGGCTCTTTTAAGAGGTTCAATCTTTCTCTCTTGTCACTCTCTGTAATCTTATACAGCTTTTTAATGTTTATTATTTTTAAAGGGTGGATGGGATTTGGTGTCGCGATCGAAGGTGTAAGTACATGTTGCGTTTGTATACGGTTTGTTTTTTAAAATATTTTTTTATATTAAAATAATATATTTTTAATTTTAAAAATTATTTTTAAAATTAATATATAAATCAACTCAAAACATAAAAAAATTAAATTTTTAAAAGCTTTCTTTTAGAATGCTTTTTAAAAAATATATTAAAATAATATTTTTATTTTTTAAAATTTATTGTTAATTTTTAATATTAAAATATGAAAACCATCTAAAAATATAAAAAAATTATTTAAAATTTAAAAATTTAAAATTTTCCCAAGCATAGCATAACTATAATTACAAACATTGTGTGTTGTATTGTTTATTTCTTAGTGTAACTGGTTTTTTATTATTTTGTTGTGTTGTATATCTTTTGTTGTTTTTAGAAAGTGCAGTTTAAATAAAAATTTGTTAAAATTTATTTTTTTATTTTTTTAATATTAAAAATAAAAAATATATTATTTAAATTTATTTTTAAATAAAAATATTATAAAAAATAACTGTTATTATATTCTCAAATATCTATTTAAAAAAATAAATAAAAGCAAGAGAGGCAAATGCATCATTTCATCCATGCAAGTACAATACTGAAATGTGTTTTGAGTGAAAATTGTAAAGTGTGTTTAATATTATAATAATGATTATTTTTAAAAATAATTTTTATTTAAAATAATTTTTATTTTTATTTTTTTAAATTTATTTTTAATATTAATATATTAAAATTTAAAAAGATATAACTTGTGAAGAGAAAAGAGGTTGGTAGGGGTGTATTGTAGAGGACTTTTTTTCTTTTTTTCCTACAAGAAAAGAATTCTTAATAAATTAAGAACTATTCCTATTTTATTTTATATTGTCATTATACACTGATTATATTTCTAGAAACTTCTTAAAAACGGATTTGAGTTTCTTGACTATTTTAGCATATTTGGTTATCATGCAAACGAGGGAGAGCTATCCCTGTTTTATAGTCCAAGGCGTAACGGCTCCTCCATGGAGAAGTGTAATTATCCTTAAAAATAATTTTTTCTTGAATTAATTGATAAATTAAAACCCTAGCTAATTAACATCTTTTTTTTTTACTTGCAAATTCTTAATTTTCAACTCAAATACTGCTAAAACTAACTAACTCTAATTAATTCCATCAGCTCTAACACAATTTCTAATTAGCAATCAATCTGACTTATAATTTAATATTTAATATAAAGAAATTCATATATACATAGTAAGAAACTAACAGGATTCTTCAAAGCTATCATCCAACAAGCTTTTCAACCATTTACATTTCAAATACAAGCAATATTAATGAATTAAAAACAATAACCTTGTTTCTTGTTTCTTTGAGTGAGTTCATACTTTTAATTTCAAGTTTATTTGGGATTATAGTTGTGATTACAGTTTAAAATATTTTTATCTTAAAAATATATTAAAATAATATTTTTAAAATTTTTAAAAATTATTTTTAAAATTAATACAAAAAAATATCTTAAATATAAAAAATAATAATTTTTAATAAAATAATTAAAATTTTTAAAAATACGAGTTAGTCTATATTATCAAATAAGGTGTTAATCTTTTAAAAAATTACATATTATATCTTATTATTTATATAGTTGATAAATTAAATTATAAACATGCAAACTCAACTAAAAAAAAAAGTTTTAAAATATTACAAATTTCTTATTATTATTGATTTAGTGTCCAAATTGTTCATTTAAATGTTTTTAAAAATCCTTGATATGCACTTCTTATTTTACAGACAACCTTTCTTCATCACCGATCAACAATCTGCCTTCTCATTCTTCGACCATTCACACCTTTAATATAAACCAAACTCAAAAAACTTTCATTGGAAATCTTTTTTTTTTTAAATATCTTTCTTAAAATCATATGACTGCTTACCTCATGAATTCAATAAGATGTTATCAGTGCGTGCTGGTCAAAACGAACAATTTCTTTATTTAGCTTGACGGTTGGCCGTTGTATTGCAAATGGATTGGTCGATATAAATAACAATATAAAATTAGCCCATATCTTATAATATTTAAAATATTATTTTTTTATATTGCAAATATGATAATAATTATTTTTTAAAATATTTTTTACTTAAAAATATATTCAAATAATATTTTTTTATTTTTTAAAAAAATATTTTAAACATCAATATATTAAAATATATTAATTTAAAAAAATAAAAATAAAAACAAATAAATACTTTTAATTAAAAAGAAAAGGTAAGAAAGAAAGAGATGTTCCAACCACCAAATCTTGGAGACGCATGAAGTGGACCGACAGGATTAAGTGGGGTCCATCTTAAATCCAGTAATGATGCGAGACCCCACTGTCTTTATCATTTCTTCACGACTCCTGAGTCCATACACGGGTTGATTTTCGAAAGAATACTTCAGCATCAGCGTTCATCCTAACAACAAAAAAAAAACATCTTTTTTTAACGATTTATTTATCTTTATTATTTATTAAATATTTAATTAATAAATTTAGAATAAACATCAAATAACACAATTATAATTTTAATATCAACAGATCCATTAAAAATTCTATTCAATCCGGTCACAAAACTTTGAGCAAAAAAATTCGAAAAAATAATTAATTGATTTTTTTAAGATATATACTTGTTTGAAAGTGTAGTTACAATTATTTAAAAAAAAAAAATCATGTTTAAATATATTAAAATGATATTTTTTTATAATTATTTTTAATATTAGAGCATCAAAACGATCCAAAACATACAAAAAATTATCTTTTATAAAAAAATTTAAGTTTTTTAGAAACGCGGTTTACAAACGTTCGCATAGCATAAAATAAATTTCAAGATGATATCAAAAAATGAAAACAAGTTTTAATTAATTCAATTCATATTTTTATATATGGATGCATCTAAACATTATAAAAAAATTGAAATAAAAAAATTTAAAATATTAATTTTAATATTTCATTACTGTTTTAACCATAACTGAAACTACATAATATCTTTTGATGCAATTCTAAATGCACTTAAAAGTAGATATTCACAATTATGATATATAATAAACTTTTTTAATTCATCAAGGTGAAAAGAAACAATTTGTTTGAAGTTGAGTTTTGATTTTACTATATATTATAAAATTTAATTTTAATTTTTTTAATTAGTTATGCTATTATTTTTTTTATTTATCTTTTAGTTTGTTTCATGGTATGCGGCAATTAAGGATTTGTTTGTTTTATATTTTATATTTTATTATTTTTATTATTTTTAATTTTTAATGTGTTAATATCTTTTTACTAAATTTATATAAACCAAATAAATTCCTTGCTCTTTCTGTCTACTCTACCAAAGCCTGCATCGGTCAAGGTACATGCTATGGTTTAAACAAACCAGTGCCGGAAAAGCATGGCCTGTTTGAACCTTTTAATTTCTTGGTCTTGCGACTGGATAAATCAGTTCCCTGAAATTATGGGATTCAATGGTGATCGGTGACCAAGTCAATGGACGGGAAAAAAATGGATAAATGATTTGTATTGGTCTCACAGTGTATGGAAACCGCCGGTTCTTTTACCCTCGCTAAAATCTGTACATGCTAGATCATATATTTTTAAAATAATTAGATTGTGACGTACCACATGGCATATTAAAAAAAAAATTGATGCAGTGGCATAGTATATTGATTTGAACTATTTTTTTACTTAAATTATAAGAATATGATAATTTTATAGAATATAATTAAAATAAATTAAAAAATCTTATTTTAATTAATAATATATTAAAGAATAAAAATATAAAAATCAATTTCAAAAAAATTAAAAAAAAAGGATCAAACTCGTAAATCGAGTCTGGAACACATTTTCCTTTCATATGAAACAAATAAAAAAATACAGAGACTAGTTATTAACAAAGTCATTGTCGAAGTATGGATTTTTTTATAAAAAATATTAATTTAAAAAATTAATAAAAAAATTTAAATTAACTTATCGAATTTATAACTTGAATCATGAGACCTTAATAAAAAATATATATTTTTTTTTAAAAAATAATATTTATCTCATCATAATCCAAAAAATAATAATTATTGATGTATAGTTTTTAAAAATATTCTTTAATTTTGACTTTATTTAAATAAAATTAAAGTTGGTGAAAAAAAAAACATTAAAAAAAAAGCTCAAGAGTTTGGGTTTTATTGACTGATTCCTAGACCCAAAGCAAGGGCAAGCTTACATGCTTGCCCATTTCAAATCTATTTTTTTTTGCTTTCATCACTCATCTATAATTTTTTTTATAAGTGATGTAGATGATGTGTTATTTATGTGTCATTTACATTTTAAGTTTTTAATAACTTTAAAGTTGTTAAAAAATCAAGATTGAGTTTTTTCAACTCTAAAAATTTATTTTTATTTATTTATAAACACCAACAAAACAACTAAAAACCCACATAAACTCCTTAATGCTTTAAAACAACAAAAAAAAAATTGGTCCCAAAATAAAAAATCATACTAGAATCCAAAATCTCCCAAGATCTATTTTTTCAAGTTTTATAAGGTAAAATAACATCAAACCTAAACTTTTTTTGTTAAATGAAAGCTGTAAATACTAAAATCAATTTTTTTTGTGTTCAAAATCAATGTTAATAATAAATTTTTCTCTCTATCACCATGATTTTGCAACATTTTATTTCTTTTTTGCCTAATCAAGAACTAAAAAATAAAAATAAAGTTTTGTAGGATACTTGAACTTCATAAATCTTTAGGGATTGAAAAGGTATCATTAATCTTTAGGGATTGAAAAGGTATCATTGGAAAAGTAAAAAGATAAAAGTAAATTTTTTTGCACAAATTTTCAAACTGCCACTCATTTTACCTATCTTACTAACTTCAATCCTCTGTCTTTTAAATTTGTCATTTCTTAATATTTTAACTTAAATTGGCATTAGACTTGGTCCGAGAAGGATGAGATAAAAAAAAATTATGAACAATGAA